CCTTAAAAAGGTCCTTCACAGCAGATTTACCATCCCAGTCCATTCACAGTACCCTTATATGGTTCCCACTTTATTCTAGTTTATACACTGGACAAAAGGTAAAACACTAGAGAGACATTGGCTAAATGAGCTAAAAATCTCAAACTAATGTCACTGCTATCAAGTCAGTTCTGGGTCCTACTGATTCTCCATTTAGTTTCTGAGGCTCTAAGTCCTTAATGGGAAGAGGTTGTCCACCTTTCTCCCAAGGAGTTCCTGGTGGATCTGAATAGCTAACCTCACGGTTAGCAGTCTGACATGTTATGCACTACACCACCAGTGCTCAGCTAGATGAGCACTATCTCCTTAATCCCTAAGAGGTAAACCATACTCCCCTCAACAGTGAAACGATGACAAGAGACAGTTTTCAGGTGATTTTGGTTCTCACTTCAGTAAGTTACTTTACCAACTTAGGCCTAAATGCCAAATCAAAGCTGTGATAGTCACAGGTGAATGGGCAGAGAGAGAAAGAGATAGATAGTTGGGTATGTAGATGGCGATAAGCCCGCACATATACCCATCAAGTTGTTGTGATGATGAAACACTAAATATACTAAAACCACTGGGCACATGTTGGTTTCCAGATCTTCTTGGCTTTTTATTAGCCTTTCTTAGCTTTCACAATCTTTATTGAGTTAATTACCACTAACCGTGTCCAATTCTGAAAGTTGTACAACGAATAGGATAATAGAAGAATCAATCTCTTTGAATTGTGGTGCTAGAGAAGAGTACTGAATATTTCATGAACTGCTAAATGAAAACAAGTTTGTCTTGGAGGAAGTGTACCCAAGGGTACTTTGTAAACGCAAAAATGGTGAAAATTACTTCCTCTTATTTTGGACATGCTGCCAGGAAGGGCAAGTCTTAGAAAAAGACATCATTCTGGGAAAGATAAAGGGTCAGAGAAAGAGAGGAAGATCCTCAACATGATGGACTGATACCATGCTTTTAACGATGGGCTGCTATATATCATGAGGATGATGCAAGAGAGGGTTAGGTTCATAGGTTGACTATGAGTCATGGTCCGCTTGATGGCCTTTAACAGCAACATAGTGACCCTGTAGGCCAGAGTAGAATTGCCCTAAAAAGTCTCCAAGATAAAGCCAACTGCCACATCTTTCTCCTAAAGAGCAGCTTGTGGGTTCAAAGCATCTACTTTTTGGTTAGCAACTGATCCCATAACCACTGGCTTCCAGGGCTCCCATAGGATTGTAGATTTGTAAATTCTGCACTCTGTTCTCTGACTTGTTTAAATAAAAACTCAAAACTTATTTCTTGGCTGATACCTCATGGCTCTGGTTAGTTATATAAAACATAATGTTAGTCAGTGTGACAATAGAGAACTTCTGCTAAAGTATTATATTTTTCTTTTTTTGAGCTCCATGCATTGTTAAATGATACTGATATGACCTTTACAACTGTTTCTCCACAGAAAAGAAATTAAATGATGAATAACCTGATATAGTAATTTACATACATCAGACAATTGTTCAGCTAGATATGCTAACATGTATTGTTGTTATTAGATGCCATATAGTCAAGTACGAATCATAGTGACCCTATGAACAAATAATCTGAACACTGTCCTATCCTTTGAGTAGAGGCTCAGAGACAAGGACCTTCCTCCAGACCCATCTGAAAAAGAAAGCCTTCCCTTAGAGCTGGTCCCTGAAATTCAGACATGGAGCCTCCTACACTGTGAAACTTATCTGTCAGATCATTGTATTAGGAAATCGATCTGCACGTTGCTAATTACTTCGTAGCATGGGTATCTGTATTCTTATTTGTCAGTGTTCTAATTCGTGCAGTACTTGTCTGTCAGTTTGCTGTACTTGTGAGTTGCTATGATGCTGAAAACTGTGTCACCACTGCTTCAAATGCCAGAGGGGTCACCCATGTGGACAGGTTTTAGTGAAGCTCCAAGATTGAAACAGACTAGGAAATAGGATTAGCCATTCACTTCTGAAATAATGCTGTTGCTGATTGCTGTCAAGTTGAGCATGACGCATAGTGACCCTATGAACAAAAGGCCTTTGTTAAGAGTGGATAGAAGAATGAGGGAAAAAAGAGTGAATAGAAATTCCATATGACCCAGCCATTCCACTGCTAGGAATATACCCCAAGGAAAATAGAAGACGCAAGTGGAGATTTATTCACTGATATTCATAGCAGTTTTATTCACAAGAGCAAGAAAATGAAAACAGCCAATATTTACATCAACAAATGTATGGGTTGAGAAATTGTGGTACATTCACATGATGGGATACTATGTAGCACTCAGGAGCAATGATTCTGAAACGTACTACGTAAGATGGGAGAGGCTGGAGAGCTTTATGCTGAGTTAACTAACTCAGTCTCATAAGGAAAAATACTGCATAAGACCATTATTGTAAAAATAGGAGGATTACTAGTAAGATGTATGAAAGTCCAAGGAAGTAAGAGAAGGGCAAAGGGTGGTTGAGATTGAGGAGGGGTGAAAAACTCGAGGTAGCAGTTTGGTGGGCAGAGTGAGGGATGAAGGAATTAGGAAAGATTCAGTAGAGACCTGAAAAGGTGGGTTAATGACGGGCATGGACCATAGGCATGGACCAATGGTGATTAATTTTATAAAACACAATGTATGGGAATGGCAATGTGAAACACAAAATGCATGAAACATAATGTATATAAACAAAACACGAGAAACACAATGTATATGACTTTTATATGTAGAACAACACAAAATCTTTTTCAAAAGAAGATCATTCAAGTGAATAAACTTGAATTTATGGTCTGCAGAAAGAAAAATAATTCTATGTATAGATCCATTAATTAAGCAATATATAGGGAATCAAGGGGATCTCTGGTGGCCTAGCAGTAAGAAGCTGTGCTGCAATCCCAAAGGCATGCGGTTCAAATCCACCAGCTGCTCCATGGGAGAAGAATGGGCAGACTTTCCCTGTGTGATTAACTGTTTCTGAAAACCGGCTAGAGTGTCAGGCATCACTTCTGACTCAAAGGCACACACCAACAACAATAGGGAATTAACATCATGTATTCAGTATGGAGGATGCTCTGGCGGAGTGTTAACCCGAGATGTATGTCTCCTGAAGCTTAAATGTACCAGCAGCTCTAAGAAGCTGGAGAGCCAGTCTTCTCCAGTTGTGATTTACAGCCTGGCAAACTGGATGGGTCATTGTGAGAACAGACTAGATGGTAGTGAGTGATATAGAACATACAATGTAGATACAAAATCTATTTGTACGTGTGTGTACGCAAACACACATACCTTACAGCAGCAAGAATAATAAGACTACTGGTGAAAGCATATCTACACTTTCATTATTATTTCTTGTCACATGAAACTTGCATTCTCTTCTATATTTTCCTAATCCACAATTAGAGAAAGTGCTCAGGAAGCATTTTTTTAATAAACAAGATGAGTAAACTAAGCCCAGGCTGACTAAATAACTAAACTTCTCAGAAGAAAAAATAAAGTTCTAGTTATACCTAAAAGAGCAGCCTAGAATCTTTTTATGTAAGGTAGACTACCTACTTAAGTCTCCTTAGACTTTTGCTTGCTCCTGTGTAAAATGAGAGTGAGTCAAAACAATCACTAAAATTCCTTTCAAATCTAGCACTAGATAATTCTGATAATTTTTCCCCCATAAAACATTAAAAGTTTTCTTTTTTTTTTTTAAATAGTAATTTTAAGGAAAGTTTACAGAAAAGTTGGGTTTTCATCCATTCATTGAGGCACATTTTCCACCCTCCCTTTCCCTTCCCCCTCCCCTAGTCCACTTTGGAGGTTTTATTGTTGTGGTTTTTGCAGGTTTTTTCATTCATGAACATGGTTCAGTGTGTGTGTGTCTGTGTTTCACACTTTTCTTCATTGACATTATTTTTCATATAATCATTCCTGTACATTGTGTTTTAGAAAGCTAATCACCATTGGACTACGCCCACCATTACCTTGTCTTTTTAGGAGGTAAAGGAAATGGGAAAGACCTGAGACTTCTAAAGTTTTAATAAAACTCTGTCTGCATTTCTACTACCTTAAACACTTGAATAAGGAAAAACATCACACTAAATAAATAATCTATGGAGCAGCTAACAATCAGACAGATCAAAGCTTGGAAATATACGTTCAGTCTATACAAACACAAGTGCAATCTTACTACAGAGAGTTCTAGTAGGCTATTTTGTAAGAAGTTGCACTTCCAACACAAAGGCAATGGGTTCAAATCCACCAGCTATTCCATGGGAGAAAGATGAACAATCTCCTCCCAGACTATTTACTGCTCTGAATATCCACTAGAGAGTCAGCTATGGGTTGGTTCCAAACTGATGACCATGAGTGAATTAGTGCTATAGTCGGTGTCAGCCAAACATAAGTCATCTGAGTTTTACAGTTTTTGTCACATCCTCTTGTGTTTGTTGTGTAGCTAACCTTCTAGTGTGTTTTCAGAGGTAGTTAATGACACTGGAGAAGACTGCCCATCCTTCTCCTGCAAAGCAGCTGATGGTCTCGAACCCAGGCTTTAGGGATTGTAGCACAGATTCTTGCCACTAGGCCACCAAAGCTCCCTATATTTTATTTACTTCAAGCTTGTCTTTAAGTAGAAATCAAGTCAATTCACTATTTCAATTAGCCGGATTCTAAGCAATTCTTAAGCTTAACTGTGCTTTTCTATTTGTTGTTTTTTTCCCCTAATAGAAATGAAAATAAATGCAGGGTCCTTAAAACAAAATAAAAAGCAAGGCTGCCAAGTATCATCAGTGGCAGGCACTGTACAGTTGAGAAAACACTGAAGCAGTTTATGAAAATAAAGCTATACACACTTGTCTAGAATAGAAGATGTACTTAAAGGGACCTTTTATATTAACATTTTCATTGCATTTATTAAAATGGAAAAACATCCACAGTAACAACCATTCTTCTTCTGTATTTTCCTATTGAAGAAGCTGATCCCATGTATTATTTAAAATGGGACAATAGGACCACAAGTTACTGGGCAGAGTTTGCGTTTTACATATGAATTAGCATAAATCCCACTTTCATCATGCCAGTGGTTGATGCCAAGTCTCTTGGAACCATCTAGATCTGTGAACTGTGAGCGGCATTTTCTGTGCTCTATTGAATAATTATCTTCACAGGAATAGACCTATTAGGTGGGAGGGTAAGAGAGAGAGAGAAATAGTAATGAATAACTGAATTAAGTTTAAAATTTTTAACAAGAAGTGAGGTGCGAAAGTTTACCTTTGGTATACTATTTTGTCATAATCATAGGTTAACCTTCAAATAATTAATTAATTTAATCCCTCTCTTTGGAAGCAGGAATGGCATCCACTTCCTAAACAACATGCCTCTGGAAACGATGAACTTTGATAAATGACGATAATTATAGAAAGGCTTCTGGCCTTTTTTTCATAGGGTCGCTATGAGTTTTGCTCGACTTAACAGCAATCAACAACAACAACAACCCTGCTATGTAACAAATGCCTCAGTGTATACAATAACTACTATTTTTTATTTTTTAAATTTTAATTGAGATTTTAACAAAAGCTTATAGAGACCTTGGGTTTCCATTCATTCATTGTTGCATATTTTCCTCCCTACTCATCCCCCCAGTTTGCTTTTCTCTTTCAGAAAAAAAAATTCTTTCATTGTTGCACAATTTCCTCGCCTGCCTCCCCCCCCCCCATTCCACTTTACTATGCAGCTCTTATTCTGGACTGTTGTCATGCAGATAATATCCAATCATATATTCCTTTTAAACAGTTCTTTCCTTCATTATTTCAGTACAGTGTACATTACTTCTCCCCTCTTTTCTTAGTTTATATTTTAAAGTGTTTCTAATCCTGAAAGAAGACTATAGTTGTTTCCTTTATAAAATTTAAAAGGTAATACACATCATACATGTAATATTTTCCTAAGCCATAATATTACAACATAAGATGAACTTCAATTTTATAACCAGCTAAACAAGACAAAAACAATTATAATTTAACTACTATTTAAAACCTTTTTATTAATAAAAGTTATAATCTTGTCATGGAGATAATAGCTTGAGTTATGCTTTAAATAATAGGTACCAAATCATACTTTACAGGGCAACAGTAAATGCTAAACTCTGAAATCCATTCTTCTAAAGAATTTACCTCTGCATGAGTCAATATAATCTTTAACATGTCTATCCTTACCCCACTTCATGCAACTTTCCATTTTAATACACGATCATTGATCACTTCCCCAAAGAAATATTTCTTCTTTCACATTACACCATGGTTGCTGATAGACATGGACTACAAAGTGTCTGGACTGCTTAAAGCTCCTACAGAAAGGATCAAGTTTGAAATTGAGAATATCAGTGAAACAATTTTTGAATATTAATATAGGCTCCTTTGAAGGAAGAACTGCATGGTTCAAAATTGGGAAAGGCGTATGCCAGGGATGTGCCCTATCTCCATACCTTTCCAACCTGTATGCAGAACAGATTATCCAAGAGGCTGGACTCTATGAGAAGTGTGGCGTCCGAATTGGTGGAAGATCTATTAACAATCTACGTTCTGCAGATGACACAACCCTGCTTGCTGAAACTGAGGAGGGCCTGAAATGCTTGCTGCAGAGGGTCAAGGACTGCAGCCTTCAGTATCGATTGAAGCTCAATGTCAAGAAGACAAAGATTCTCACCACTGGACCAATTGGATGGATGGTGAAGAGATTGAGATTGTTAACAACTTTAGTCTGCTTGGCTCCACGGTCAACACTCTTGGCACCAGGAAATCAAAAAATGTATTGCGGTGGGAAAGTCTGCTGTTAGGGACCTCTCCAGGGTACTGAAGTGCAATGGTGTCAATCTGGAGACTAAGGTGCGCCTGATATAGGCTATGGTCTTTGCAATTACTTGTTATGCATCAGAGAATTAGACAATAACTAAGGAGGATAGAAGGAGAATTGATGCCTTTGAGCTGTGGTGCTGGAGAAGAGTATTGAATGTACCCTGGACTCCAAAGAAAACAGATTCATCCTAGAGAGGGTTAAACCAGGCTGCTCCTTGGAGGCAAGGATTCTGAGGCTTCGTCTGACATGTTGACATGTTGGACATGTTGTAAGGAGGGAGAGGTCCTTGGAGAGGGACATCATGCTTGGGAGGGTGGAGGGACGGCGCAGAAGGGGAAGACCCTCTATGAGGTGGATTGATTCAGTGACTGGGGTAATCGGGATGGGTGTGTCAGAGGCCATGCGATTGGCACAGGATAGAGCAGGGTTTAGGGCTGTTGTACATAGAGTCACTATGAGTCACAAGCAACTCGACGACACATAACAATAACAACTTTGAAGTATGAAATAAGAAAAGACAAACCTAGCTGATACACCTATTTTTACTTAGTTTCAAGGAGTATGCTTTTTCTTTTATAATTAAGGATTGTAAAACAATGAAAAAAACATTTATTTCCTATTTTAGAGCAAAGAATCTGGAGCCAGGCACTTGAGATGAAGATGTTGTTGTTTGTCTTACAGTGTGCAACATAAGATTTTACAAAAGAGAGCGAAGTGCAACATAAACCTTTACAAAAGAGAACAAAACACTGACCAGTCCTGTGTCATCTTCACAATTGTTTCTATGTTTGCGATCAATGTTGTCACTACTGTGTTAGTCCATCTCTTTGAGGGTCTTCCTTTTTCTATTGTTCATTAACCATCTACTTTGCAAAGCATCGTGTCCTTCTTCGGGGCCTGGACTCTCTTGGTAACATATCCAGAGTACATGAGAAAATCTTGTCATCCATTCTTCTAAGGAATATTCTGACTGTGCTTATTTCAAGATAAATTTGTTCGTTCTTCTGGCAGCTCATGGTATATTCAATACTCTTCACAAACACCATAATTCAGAGGCATCAAAAGCCACCAAAACTGTGCAGGGACAGAAACACATTGTTCAGTGTGGACAAATGTAATGGGCATTGTTGTGCTTGTAAATCAACTTGAAAAAAAGAAAGCAAATACAAAAGTTTTTATAATGTTTGCTAATTGCTTCGGTCTACATACTCCCATTATGACTAACTTCAAGTTAGCAAAATTAGATCAGTAAATGTTGAGATGACATGCACAGAGTCAGCCAAAGCAAGTTGTTTAGAGCTTGTTTCAGCTCAGCTCTGAATCTCCATCTCCCACTTCTCATTATACAGCAACCCTTCAATTTGGGGAGAAGGAACTGAAGAACACACTTAAGCCTTGAGCTGCAATGCTTAAGGATACAGAGCAGAATATTGAATGATCCAGGGAACATTAAAAGAAGATGGAATGGGTACACAGACTCATTGAACCAAAAAGAGTTGGCTGGCCCAGAAGAATTTTATCAAAGAACATATGGTCAAGAGACAATGGTGATGAAGCAGGAAGTTTAGGTGGCTCTGAAAGAATTGGCAAAAAACAAAGCCCCAGGAATTGATGGAATAACAACTGACATATTTCAACAAACAGACATTGTCTTAGAAATGCACACCAGGCTGTGCCAAGAAATCTGAAGAGCAACTACCTGGCCAACTCACTGGAAGAGATCCATATTTATTCCCATTTAAAAAAAGTGATCCAAAAGTATATGGAAATTATCAGACAGTATCACTAATATCACATGCAAGCAAAATCCTGCTGAAGATTATCCAAAAGCGGCTGGAATGACCAGAAACACAAGCTGGGTTTAGAAGATGCCATGACACTAGAAACATATTGTCAATGTCAGATGGATCTTGGCAGAAATCAGAGAGTACCAGAATAATGCTTATTTGTGTTTCATTGACTATGCAAAAGCATTTAACTGTGTGGATCACAACTGTGACTAATACTGAGAAGAATGGGAATTCCAGGACACTTGATTGTGCTTATATGAAAACTATACACTGCATGGTTTAAAATCAAGAAGTAGTGTGTCAGGGATGCATCTTTTTCTTCATAACTTTTCAATCTATATGTGGAACAGATCATTCAGGAAGCTAGACTTCATGAGGGAGAATGTGGCATCAGGATTAGAAGAAGACTAATCAACAACCTGCATTATGCAGATGATACAACTTTGCTTGCTGAAACTGAGGCATTTGCTGCAGAAGGTCAAGGACTGTAGTCTTCAATATGAAACCAAATAGGAAAAATAAGATACATGAAGAAGAGCTTTAAAGGACCTTAATTTTTATAGCAACGAAGACCCAAGACCAGAAGATTAGGGAGCCATCAGGCCCCGGTTCCTCCTGACTCTTGTAGTGTTGCCGTCACGCTTAGCATTGTCCACAGCAACCTGGGACAGATGCTAATTTACATCCAGTCATTAAAAAAAGAGCTTCTTTCCTTCAAATGCTTGAATGAAAGTGTTGAACTTCACTCTGTGTAAATTCACTCATCTGCTCAATGTTGAGCCAATCACTGTCACTAGGAATAGAATGAGAGTAGGGAGCCCTGGTGGCCTTGTGGTAAGGGGTTGCTCCGGCAACCCAAAAAGTATGTGGTTTGAATCTAGCAGTTGTTCTTCAGTAGAAAGATGGGCAATCTCCTCCTGTGTGATCAAATGTCTCTGAAAACTACTAGAAGGTCAGCTATGGGTTTGTTCCAAGTTGATGGTACACAACAACAAAAGTCAAGACCAAACTGAGATTGTAGGAGTCCTGGAGAGACAAGTAATGTCCTATACATTTAAAGCAAATATAAGGAAATTGGGAATGGGGGGTTGAAAATTAGTAGGGATTTTTTTTTTCTTTTTTCAGTGTATACAATTATCCACTTATTGAGGGGAGATTAAAATGTTTCGGAAAAAATGGCAAGCAACAAAAAAAAGCACTATTATATTTAGTTTCTAATATTCAAAATTGCAGTGGCTGCAACAGTCGCTCAATATTAGCAATGACTGTCGTGCACAGGGGCACTGCAAGCTAGTGCTTAACAAGCACAATGCAATCCAGGACTTCTGTAATTGAGTCAGTAGTCTTACGACTTTAGATTATTAATGATTAAGCCCGAGAGTCATCACTCTCTAAATGTATAGGAGAAACATTCCACTCCCTACCCATGTGCCATTAAGACTTAGCCAAGAGTTAGAATGGAGAGGAGGGTAGTGTCTGCCTATCTGGGGAATTTCAAAAGGAGAGAATAAAAAGAAAGAAAAGACGGACA